TATTCTACTGTTCTAATCTTCGTAAGGGGGATATTCTACTGAGCTCCTTAAGTAGGACTAAAATCAATATATTCATCGCCCTTCAGTTGAGCAGGTGGACATCATAATCTTTCAGTCGGCTAATCCAATTTTCCTTTTTCCTGAGCCCCGTTTGCCGCAAGCCCCGAAGTTCTTCAGGGGTATATCATCAACGACTTCCGGGGCTTGCTGCATAAGGTCGTCAGGATATTGTATAAATCGGACGGGCCGTATCTCCGAAGGTCGTCGGGAATATATTCTTTCCTGGGGTTGCTGCATACGACCTCTAACGTTCTGTAAAAAGGAATATGAAATCCAGAATATGAAATTATTTGAGCATTTTCGAATGTTTATGTGCAGGTCATGTTACATGCGTTCTGATTTAGCGAGTTGCCCGTTGTCCTAAGTGTTTGGATGGGGTAATCAAGCCAGACATAGTGTTTTTTGGCGAGGAGCTTGATAAGACGTTCCACACTCAGATGGCAGTTGACAAGGATGAGCTCGATTTGCTTGTTGTCATCGGTATGCATTTGTATTACTTAGTTTTATTTTTTTACTTTCTAGGTTCTCGAACTATTTGACAACATCGCAAACAGTTTTCTTTCCTTCATCCACTCTAAATTGAAGAGTGGCGATGTTTTTGGAAGACTGATGTCCAATGTACTCTGCTGATAGTATAGTAGGATTTGTTCTTCCCCTTTTGGAGATCCTCTTAACCGGCTTTTGGATTGTCTGCCCAAATCTCGGTTCTTGCTGTAGACCTTGCCCAGCTCCAGATGCTGTCGATCAGTGTGTTCTTCGTCTAATTTTCGCAGGGCCAAGTAACTTCGTTATCGTTTTCTGGTCAGCTTTTTTTTCACCTCTGCGGCCCCTTGTGTCGGTGTGGGCTTCATCCAGCATCTTTGAAGCTGCTAGGACCCCACAGCTCCGCAGTTGATTGACAATTAAACGCCGAGGAACTTAAATTCAGTGAAGGCGAACATGAAATGTAAAACTCAATCGTCCGCAGATACACTGTGCGTATGCATTGAATACTAGAACGTTAAGCTAGAAATTTTCTCGAAATCATTAGTACAATTCATGGCGGGTGGATCTTCAAAGCATCACGATTGCTCCAGAAGTACAGTCTGAGAAGGGTCTCACAGAATATTTTCACTCTGAGAGGCCACTCTTGCCACTAAATGAATGCGCACTGCATGCTAGTCCTACACCAGTGCTCGTGAGACCGGCCTGCGCGACTTCTGACCCGAGAATGTTTGTGTG